AGTTACGATGTAACCTATATGTAAATTCTACACTAGTGAAGTACGAACAGGTAATTCAAGGAAAACCCTGGGGAATGATCGACAGTCGCCGAGCGCATTTGGTAGAGTTGCTGGCTCTGAGTACATTCTAGAGGAGCTGCAAAAGCGCAAGGATGCCTCTTTATGTATTTCCGGAAAGTCATTCGAAAGAAAGAACACTAACGCACGCATCGCTAGTAAAAAAAAAAGTAGCTTTAGTTGGCAAGCAGCTCAATAAAAAGGATGATGTTTGTTCTTGTACAGAGTGTAATTATGGGCTGAATTTTATGCGGAAGCTGTGGCGCTCGAGTGTAACACGGCAACATAAAATGATGCCCATAGTAGGCAATGTGGAAGTATCTTAAACGTATAGAAGGTGTACTATCGGGGAAAAATGAAATGCGAACAGAGGAGCGCGTGGCTCGCGGTACAGGCTGCGTCGCCTGGAAGTGAACCTAGGGGCGAGGGTGCGTGGCCTACTTCGATGTGTTCACGCCCCTCGATTGGCGCTTCCCCAGCTTCGGCAGTGCGCCTCTCAACGCGCTGAAAGCTGCCACCGCTATCTTTGCCTGCTCGGCGAGTGCGGCGAGCTTCTTTGCACCGCACGCGCTGAGCCAGCAAAGATAGTGGTGATAGCTTTCAGCGCACTAAGTGGCGCACTGCTGAAGCTCGGGGAGCGCAGAGGGAGGGGCGTGAACACGTCGGAGTAGGCCACGCACCCTCGCTCCTAGGCTCACTTCCAGGCGGCGCAGCCTGTACCGCGAGCCACGCGCTCCTCTGTTCGCATTTCATTTTTCCCCGATAGTACATATTTATAACAATTCATAAGTGCTTATAACTGAGCACGATCCATCACTCCCGGCAAGATGCACCAAGCGGCTCAGCAGGATTCGAACTTCGATCATTCGATCCTCAGTCCGACGTCTTTGCTCGGCTCAACAAGGAGGATTTCAAAGGGAGGGCAAGCAGCCGGCAGCACCTATAGGCTGCCGGCGACTCGTTGCCATTTTTGGCCCATGGCGCGTCCCACCTCCAGATGCGTGCGGCGCCTATTGGTCTGCTGTGGCTGCCGGTGACGCGCCGCCGTTTGCAAGCACGTTCCCATTGGTCAACTATAGATGCCGGCGCCGCGCCGCCGCGCCAAACTGGATTAGCGGCGACGCTCCGCCATTTTTGGCTCAAGTACGTCCCAGCATGCACCAGCTTGGCGATACTTGTGTATAAAATCCATCCAGCGTTTTAACCACACTTCGTCGTGAGGCGGCCGATTCCGCGGCAGAGCTTATTCAGCCACCCAGCATAGTTATTCCGTGAACGAACTTCGACGGCGAGTGTAAAATTACACGTTGACTAAAGACATAACAGTGTAAACGCAACGTACTAAGGTACAGCGCAGAGGGTGTGTGGCGTCACAACTTCAGTCACGAGTCAATAGATAGCGTAGAGGGCGCGATTAATCTCCGCTTCTCGCGATCATATCAGTTACCACGTGGACTTCCTCGCAATCCAAGAGCACTAACAATTCCAGGCCCAAGACGTACCCACAAATATGCATAACCCATGGAACACTTCTTATCGATATTCGTGGCACACTCTAATGTAAAATGAGCTTAAACTACTCTTAACAATTCTGACAAACCAGGAAAAAGCAAGTGCGTCGTTCGTGTGGCGCATTAGAAGCCACCCAAAGCTCCCGGTAACCAAACATAACGAGTCATAACGCAAGCATAATGCACGCACGACACCTTCTCCGCTCCCCAAGTTTGTCGGAATGATCAAAGCAAGATTATTTTATAAATTTAATTTTAGACACTGACAGGCATTGTAGAATGCGTCATGCGTTGTTAGGTAACTGTTGTGTATGTATAAAGCAATGTAACAGGTTCCTATTCTCACCACCAGGGTGCGCTGGTCTTTGCCCTGTAAAATGTGTCTTCACCATATTAAATTTGTTCTTTGTGTGCTGTTCCTCTGCGTGGGAGCTTCTGTTCTTTGGCGCTTCGGCGCGACACAACAATGGCGACGAGGCTCGTATGGAAGATTGAACGAACCGAGTAACAACGTGGCAAACGGCATTATGCCGAAGTTGACGGAGTTCAACCCGGAGGAGGACGACGTCGACGAATATCTCGAACGCTTCGAGATTTTCCTTCGAGTGAACGCTGTCAAGACGGAAGACAAAACCGTGACGCTGCTAAACTACATCGGGAAAGCGTCGTACCAGGTTCTGAAAACCTTGCTTATCCCAGACTCGCCGGTATCGAAATCGTACGACGTACTTTCCGAGGTGCTGAAACGCCACTACGCGCCCAAGCGCTTAGTGATTGCAGAGCGCACGAAGTTCCATTGGAGAAATCAAGAGGTCGGCGAGAGCCTAGCGGACTTCTCCTTGGCTATCAATAAGCTCGCCCAGACATGCGCGTTCAAGGACTACCTCGACCAGGCTCTTCGGGACCGGCTCGTGGCGGGGTGCCGCGACCCTGAGGTACAGCGGACACTCAGCCAGCTCGACGACGATTACTTCGACGAAGTTCTAAAGGTGGGCCTGGCCAAAGAACTTTCTCTGCGCAAAACGGACGAGATACGACAGCCCGGCGTTCCGGACTCAATGGACGTGCACCGCGTTGAAGGTGATGGTGAAGGACACTCCGGGTGTCCACTTTCCGCCACTGCATCGCCACAGGTCCAGTATCAGCGTACGGTAGGCCCATGTTTTAGATGCGCTTGTACCGTGCATGCTTCCGAGAAGTGTCCGTTTTCGAAAGCAAAGTGTTTCAAATGCGGGAAGCAGGGGCACACTAAGGCGGTGTGTAGGGCCAAGCCTAAGCCTACTTCGAACACCAAGCGCGGACCTTGGAGCGTAACCTGTATGCGGAAGAATGACGCGTCTGCGGCATTCCAGAAGGTTTTGGAAGTCGAAGGAAAACCGGTGACGATGGAAATCGACACTGGTTCAGCAGTTACTTTGGTGCCAGAAAGAATGTATGTGAATTTGTTTTCTCACGTGCCCCTTCAGGTGAGTGACATGCGTCTCCGAACGTACACCGGGGCTCTAGTGCCAATCAAGGGTGTAGCGAGCGTTAATGTAAAAAACGGGGAGCTACCAAGCGAAAAGTTACCTTTGTTGTGGTAAAGTCCGCGAATGCCCAGCTGCCAGCTCTTCTAGGCAGAGACTGGATCGAGCAGTTAGAAATTAACTGGTCGGGCGTAGGTCGTATTGAGAACGAGACGATGACAGACTCATTGAAAAAGTCGTTCCCTATTCTTTGAAGGTCCAGTGGGGCCGATAAAGGGTTTTCAGGCAAGGATTGTACTGAAAGAAAACTCTCAACCTGTGTTTTGTAAACACAGAGTGGTGCCATACGCATTCAGAGAGCAAGTAGAGAGTGAGCTTGAGAAAATGGTGGCGCAGGGCATTCTGAGGCCTTTAAAAAGTAGTGAATGAGCAACACCCCTTGTTGTGGTTCCCAAGCCAGGGGGTAAAGTTCGCATCTGTGGTGACTACAGTGTGTCCGTAAACTCACAGGTGACGGTGGATCACTACCCATTACCGAGGGTAGATGAGGTGTTCAACAACTTTCGGGGGTGTGGCATCTTTGCTATTTTGGATCTAAAGACTGCATACTTGCAGTTAGCCCTTGACGAAGCGTCGCGGAAACTGCTCACAGTGACCACTCACTTAGGATTGTTTGAGTTTTTACGTATGGCTTGGGGAGTCTCGAGCGCACCAGCAATTTTCCAGAGTGTAATGGGTAAGATTTTGTTGGGCCTAACCAAGGTAGTGTGCTATCTTGATGATGTACTGGTGGTTGGGGTAGACCAAAATGACTGCAACCAGAGAGTCTTGGAAGTGTTGAAACGCTTTCAGGAACATGGACTTTGTGTGAATCAGGACAAGTGTGAATTTTTTGTATGCGAAGCGCGTTACTTGGGATACTTGTTGAGTGGCCAGGGTGTAAAGCCATGCCCTGAGAAGGTAGAGGCTATCAAAAAGGCACCCGCACCGAGTAGCATGACGGAGGTTAAGGCATTTGTGGGGCTGCTAGCTTTTTATGCTCGTTTCCTCCCAAATTTAGCTGCCACACTGGGACCTTTGTATGAACTCTTAAAGAAAGACAAGAAGTGGCATTGGTCGGAAGAATGCCAACAGGCTGTAGACAGAAGCAAAGATCAGTTGTGCAGTGCTGGGGTAATTGTCCTCTACGACCCTAGTCTACCACTTCGAGTGACGGCCGACACATCCAGCTACGGCCTCGGAGCAGTCTTAACACAAGACATGGGAAACGGGGATTACAGACCTGTGGAGTTTGCGTCTAGGACGCTTACTGTGGCTGAAAAGAACTACGCACGAGTGGAAAGAGAGGCCTTGGCACTCAAATATTTGCGGTCAAGAAATTCCACCGGTATCTCTTTGGGCGTTCGTTCACCCTGGTAACTGACCACTACCCGCTAACGTCGATCCTGGGACCTAAGTATTCTACCACAGCCATATCTGCTGCGAGGATCCAGAGGTGGCGCTTGTTACTTGCAGAGTACAACTTCAAGATCCTGTACCGCAAGGGCGGGGAGCTCGGGGATGCTGATGCCCTATCGAGACTTCCTCTGAAGACAACTGTAGGAGAGGAAAGTATGTTGAAATATTTTTCACCCACAGAGCAACCGCTTTTTTCTAGTTCTGATGAGGGGAAAGAGACCCTCAGCGACCCCTTGCTGCAACGTGTCCTTGAACACACCAAGAGAGGTTGGCCAACATCCGTGCAAGATCCAGGGTTGCAACCCTTCTGGCACAGGTTGGAGACGCTGTCAACGGACCAAGATTGCCTACTCTGGGGGATTAGGGCCGTGATTCCACAGGCACTACAGGCTGCGGTCCTTAAGAGACTGCATGAAGAATATCCAGGAATGTTGCGTAGGAAACAGCTTGCGAGAGGGCATGTGTGGTGGCCCGGAATCGATGCCATGATCGAGAACAAGGTGCAGTCATGCGAGATCTCCAAGCGGTCCAAAACGACGTTCTTCCAGTACCACTCCAGCCATGGAAGATGACCTCGCGGGCCTTTGAACGTGTTCATTTGGACTTTGCAACCAAGTCGGGAACCAACCTGTTTGTTTTGGTTGACAGTTTTTCTAAATGGGTTGAGGTCCTGCCCATGTCTTCCACAACCACACCCCAGACAGTCGAGAAACTTATGGCTGTCTTCACGCAGTTTGGACTACCCGAAGAAGTGGTGACTGATGGAGGCCCCCAGTTTCGAAGTGAAGAGTTCAAGAACTTCTTGAAGGATCAAGGAGTGGTGCACACCATGACGCCACCCTACCACCCGGCTTCGAATGGCGCCGCGGAGAGGGCTTTGCAAACAGTCAAGCGAGCGCTGCTCAAGCAAGTACTTGAAGACGACCTCCAAGGGAAGAGAAGGAATATCCAGGAGAAGTTGTCGTGTTTCCTACTTGCCTACAGGACGACACCACACACAAATACTGGAAAGGCACCTGCAGAGCTCTTCCTGGGATGGCTTCCGCGGACCCGGCTGTCGCAGCTCAAGCCAGGTGCAACGTCCCTTCCACGAAGAGAGAAGAAAAACAAGAAAAAGGAGCTGGCTGACAAGGGCAGAGGTCCAACGAAACTCTTTCAAGTGGGCAACAGAGTTTGGGTCAGAAATGTGAGGGGGGAGAGAGCAAACTGGACTAAAGGAATTTTAAAGAAAGTAATCAGTCCGGTTGCATACCTGGTGCGGGTGGCTAACCAGATTCGTTATGTGCATGCTGATCACTTGCGCTTTCGAAGTGAGGGCTCGTCCCGATCAGCCTCTTCGGTGAGTGGATCGAGTGACAGTGAGAGTGTTGATGAACCGGGCGAATGTGAGGCGCCTTTGCCACTGAATGCTGACAGTGGCCTAGCTGCTCAGGAAGTTCGACGGTCGAGCAGAGCTTGACGCCCTCCAAATAGACTGGTGTACTAGTGTTCCTTTATGTAAGTGTGGAGGAGTGTTGTGTATGTATAAAGCAATGTAACAGGTTCCTATTCTCACCACCAGGGTGCGCCGGTCTTTGTGTCTTCGTCATATTAAATTTGTTCTTTGTGTGCTGTTTCTCTGCGTGGGAGCTTCTGTTCTTTGGCGCTTCGGCGCGACACAACAGTAAGCATTAGCAACCTTTTATAAATTTTAACTTTAATTGTTAATGTATTACATGAGTAAATAACGTACGAGTCTGTGCCTAAAGTTCCCGGTTAACGCAGATTGACTGCTTGGCGATTACATTTTATTACTTTTGACATGTTATATGCTGGTACCTTAACTTTTAAAGCATTTAAACACCGTTCACTCTTATTTTAGGGCTGTGTGATGAATACGGCTGAGTGTTTTTGTGTTGCAAGTACCAGTACTTTCGTCTTCGCGTTTAGTTTAAAGCAATATTATTCGAAACTAACGCGGCCATGCAATAGATATAAGACTGAAAACCCACTTGATCTCGGTCATTTGCATACCTTTCTATTACTCAAAGAGTTCCAGAAAATTTCTTTCACGCAGAAAAGATATTCCTTAACAAGGGCTCTTTGTTCTCCGACTGAATTCAAAATTGTCCCGATTTCGGTAAATTGTATTGGGGTGCTAACATGCCTAGTATCGGACTCCTAGGTGATGCTGAGATCTCCCTCTAACAAAATGTTCATTCTATAACAAAGGTACAATTACTTTGACCTCTACAAAACTTTGACATTTTACTTGTTCATAAGATAAGACAGAGTAAGAAGTGGTGCAATTAAAATTGGCGTTCTTTCTTACAGAAGCAATAAACCACAGCTCTGGAACATTGTTGATAGATGCAAAAGTTGTCAAAGATATTAAAATATTGATATACTTTATGCTTGCCTAACATATGAATTATGAAAATGTAGCTTAAAAATAAAGCGATTGTGCTTTTTTCGCTTATTTTTGGAAAAAAAAAATGTGGGCTGTGAGCGGATCGCGTCAGACGGAACACACAGCATGCATAGCACCGAGTCTGGAAATATGAATTACTGGTCATTGCATTATCTGTTCTGTTGTGGTATATAGTTTATTTTTATTTCTCTAGAGAATGTTTGGCTGATTATGTCAAATAAAGTGTACAAAATAAGCATTGCAGAGCTATAGGGTATTTGCAAAGTGTATTCACTTTTGTGCTAAATAATTTATCTTTCTTTAAGTTATTTCGGGTGCGCTTTCTTAAAATCTTGTACTTCAAAAATGTCCATGGTTGAAAATAAAATATACGGTGTAAACGCGTTACACTTTTAATTTCACGTCTGTAAGGTGTGTGCCTGTGAGATCAGGGAAAATTTCAGCGGTAATTCTAGAAGTTTTGGCTGATTAAGCTAACATTGGAGTTCTTGTCGTTGGAACCTGAATGACCAAGCATTACACAGTACGCAATAGAACAATCAGCAAAAAGTAGTATAATTTTCTCGAATAACCGAACTTTATAAATTATGAAGTTATAATCTAATTCCAGAGCAGAGCACTGTTTCTCAGGGGTTCTTCATTAATGTATGTATAAGTAACGTCGTATGCACTTACACTTACGACATCTAGGGTGTCTTTACTTTGTATCGATATTACTTGCAGCATGGCGCCTATACAATCTATCATTTATGAATCTCACTGAAAACAAAATTATCGAAGAAAATGGTGCTTACACAAGTATGTAAACATATGCAAGAATAACAATACATTTATCATGAAACTAACATTATATATGAATGCCTTAGCTACTTTATATTTTTTTATGAACATACACAAATTAACCCGTTTGTGACTCCATCTATTATTTAAAAACTTATAAACTATACATAGAATAAAATAAGAATAAGAGCTTCCTCTGTTGTCGTCAATATATACTGTTTCTGTGTTCCTAGTTCTTTTAGTACACATTTCGGACCTTTATCCTAACATTTATTATATTATTTCATATGCAGTGTGAGTGTAGGGAATCTGGAATTTCTATATACCTGGTTTACTATGACAATAAAACATGGACAGCAGAAAATATACATAAGTTTTGTGAAGTATATTTATAATAAATAAATAACACTGATGACAAACAATACATCACTAGGAAGATCCACACTGCAATACAATATAAAAGCTTACGGGGACTGCCAAATATCTAAATGAAAATGCAATCGATTAAGAATTATTATGAGGTACAGACTGCGTATATGTGATATTACAGAGTGCGTATTTGTGTGTACAGAACAGGAAATGCTGCGTTTTAGAGGCCAACTTTGTGTTATGATAATTTTATAAATGATTTCTTCGGTATCGAACAGAAACCAGAAATAGCAAATGAAATATTTTCAGACAATATTGAGGATATGTAACCATCAATACATAAAAATACCGACAGGCGACAAAAATACACAATGGGGCAACATTTTTTTTGGAAGAGATAATTAAGAAAATCGCAACAAAAATAAAATGTAAGGAAACAAAATAATTGGGAATTGCAAAAAACAAAAACAATTTCATCATCTATTTTTATGCTTTCCATTTCTTTTTAGATTGGTGGACTGGCCTTGCTGAAGAAATTTGGACGAATGCTACTGTATCCTTTCATGTTTACAGGAGTTTAAGCCGATCTTCATACATTGTTGATTCTGCTATATAAGCTTTTTTTAATGATTATTGCGGTGGGAAAAAAGAGCACGTTGTACAATCGTGGACGATATGTTAAAGTCCAAGAGAGCGGGCGGCGCCAAAGACATCCAGTGCTATCTAACGGAAGACAGCTGAGTGATCATCGAGGCTATTGTGTGAACGAGAGGCCTTTCGTAAATGCCACTTGTTCACCCAATAGCCTCGATGATAACTCGGCCTTCTTCCGCTAGATAGCACTGTAGGTCTTCGGAGCCTAGCGCTCGCCTGGGCATTATCATATTATACGTGATCGTACCTGCCGCGTCAGACGCAGAAGTCACGTTGGTTTATGAGCCTTAAATTATGCAATATTTAAAGGTAAAATAAATAAATATTTTACTGCTGTGCAAAAACGTTGAAGCATTCACAAACTTTGTTCTAAGTCATGTTTATTAGAACTGTCTAAAAATAGCGCTGAGTGCTCTTACCTGTAAGCAGGCTGATGATCAATCCTATAACCATGGTCAGAATGGTGCTGAAAAAGTTGCTCCAGTAAGCCGATAGCTGCGTGAGAACGAAACCGCTACTGGACCTGCGAGAGATAACAATTTTTTTGAACTTTTCAGAAGTAGAAAAGCGATGAAAGTGTTCTCGTCCACCGAATCAAGTTTGCGCTTTATTCAAAGCTGATTTGTGAATAGGATTGATATCATATTTATTATTAAATACGAACTATATTTTACTTCTTTTTTTTTGCGGGTGCCCGAGAATTCAGGGGACGATTATATTTACCTTTTAAGAAAAAATATGTTATACATGAATGATTGGAACCTGAGACTGTGGTTTGAAAGAGCGGAAACTCGTGAAGGAGGAAGAAAAATACTCAGACAACATCCCCCCTTTTTTTTTCTCCTCCACGAGTTTCCGGTTTTTCAAACCAAAATCTCAGGTTTCGATCATCATGTATAACATACACAAGCTCGCCTGCGCTTTAACCGTTTTTCCATTAAAAAATGTGTTGGTTCACTGCGCTGCATGTGGTTACCTTGGTAATCAACAAGGAATTAGCGCTCTGGATTTGAGCCCTATAGTGAATGGGAGCTTAAAGCCCGACCTGCAAACTATATTTTTTCCCAAGATAAAAAAAAAAGAAATATATATATATATATATATATATATATCCTTCTTGCCACCCTTCATATTTCCCCCTGCCCCACTGCTCTCTTGTCGGCGATGACTCCTTTGGTTGCTGCCTCTTGGGACTGGACAAGCCGAGACCTTATCCCATCTTATCCAGCCACCAAGAGGCAGTGACGAAAAGAGCCCCTCATCTTCAAGGTAGCAACGGGAGAGGAGGATATTTGAAGGGTGGCGATACAGACTCTTCTACCCTGCGGGAAAACGTTTTTGTAGGTCGACCCTTAAGAAACTCAAGGCGCGGTGGGTCGCGAGGATCGTATTATCGCTTATCATCCAATGATGTTGCAGCGTTAGCGGATAAGAATGCAAAATGACCGAATCAAGAAGAGTGAACACCATAAACCACGCCACGCATTTTCTAAACCATTGAGTTAGTAGCCGAGTGGAGATCTCTCCCTTTCTTTTAATTTCACCTTTCCTTCTAACATTCCGGTCGCTTCGCTGTTTCTTCGCTACGTTGCTGGTTGGCAGAGGTGAATAATATGTCTCAACACCATCAGATAACACGGTCGTCATAGTACAGGATATTCTTCCTCATCTACCGGAAGGCTGCGTCAAAATTTGCCAGGGACTTGTGTTTATCGACGAGGACACGAGCTACAGCAATGCCAGCTAGCAGCCACGTAGCCAGGGGGGGGGGGGGGGGGGAAGGGCCATGGGACCCGGCCCCCGCCCCCCCCCCCCCCCCCCGAAATCTTCCATTTCCTAGGACCTCCTTTCCACCCCCTCATACAGCATTTTGTCATGGGCGTGCCCCCCCCCGAAACAAAAATCTGGCTACGTGCCTGCCAGCTAGATTGCAAGGCCTGCGCATTACCTCCCTAAACGTATTAGACCGGAGGATCCACGCAGCGTCCCCTAGATCGCGTTAGCGCCGCCGTCAGCGCGTCTCGCAGAGTCTCACAACGAGGATGACGTTAGCGCGCTTCGACGCCAAGGCGGACTTGCCTGCCGCTTTTGTGGCGTCCCTCGTCGACCTTGTTTGCCACTTGGGGCGGGTCGGTGATCTTTAAGCATGACGTTGTAGTTACGAATATACTTCAATAGAGACATTGTAGAGTAAAACAAGACACCTCCTGAACTAGGACTACATAAGTTTACTACGGTAATATAGATAAGAGAGCGAACATGACGACGTGGTCTTTTTACGAGCACTAGACGATGACTGCCCCTCCGAAGAGGTGTTTTGCGAGGGGCGAGAGAGGCCAGTATGGCGTCTGACTATTGAGCCGACGCTCGGATGCCGAGCTTTCTCGCTTAGGAATGCGAGGGGTCGGGTTTCCCACCTGCGGCCGCCGCCCGCTTGCGCCTTGCGCGGTCTATGTCGCAGGACCGCCCGCGTCTGGAGCGTGTCAACTCCGTCCGTCACAGCGCTCCCACCCCAATGAGCAGGTGGACGTCGTACGTAGTTGAGAACGAGCCGATCCTGCCAGCGAACTCTGCGGCCGTGACGCGTCGTTCGACCTGGAAGGAGAGTTCGAGCGACCGTCGGAGAGCCCTGCTTGCCCCGGGGGTCTGGCGTAGATGCAGGTTAGGGATCGAGAAACGGGGGAGGCGAGGGTGCCTTGTGATTGTCTCCGATGGTTGCTGCGGTTTCCGTTGTCGTGAGATTGGGCGGGCTTGAACGGTCAAAAACAACTAGGCACCTTCTCTTGGTTTATTATTTGGAGAGCTTTTGTCCGCGTTTTAGCACGCGGAAAGGACTGTCGTAAAGGGCGTGAAGCGGGCGCTTGACCGGGCCGTGCCTGACAAAAACATCCGTGCAATATGTCAGCTCCTCGATGATATCAGGCCGGCGGCTGGCGAGTGACCTGGTGGCTTTTGCTCGAAGGCCGTCTATCAATGCACACTGTGGGTCGACGTAATTGTAATTGTAATTGTAACTGGAAATTGCCTGTGAATAACTGTATTCAGTTTTTAGACATTTTGATCCTTTTTTTTAAGAACATGGCTGTTGGCAGTATTGTCTGTGCACTAAGAAAAGCCTGGTTTTGTTTGAAAGTGCTCACTCGAAACTTGTAAAAAGGGGTATAGCCTTGACATGTCAAGTGCAGCTTTGAAAAAAAGTTGCAATCACCAGATGAAAATCAGTCTTGAACGACAATCAAAAAGGTTAATAGACATTACAAATATTATTAGAAATAAAAACCGTCCTAGTTGTTTTTCAGTAATACCTGAGGTATGATTATTCGAGGTTCACTTACTTTAAAAGCGCTTAATAAGCTTTTGGAATTCATCGAATATTTTAGCGACTTCCTAGCGAATCTAGTGACTGTTTAGTGACTTCCTGGTCTCAATTTAGCGGAGCGCGCAAGAAAGAGATGGCAACACTGCTGACGCAGCGCGTCAGTTTCAACGACCGGCCAGTCCATGGAGCTGCGTGTCCGTCAGCGCGGCTACACGCGGAGAGGAAGTATGATGTACATGCTTTCGCATTCACAGCTCATAAGGAGTGCCGAGGTGTACCTCGAGGCTTTTTATGGTGAAGTCGTGATCTTCCACGAAATGGCGGACTGCCAAACCACCAAGTACACCACCAGCAGTTCACGACCGAAGTCCCTGTAACGTTGCTTGGTTGATGAAAGCTTGCGCGAGAAGAACGACAACTGCTGAGCGTACCCGTAAACTACCTCGGGTGTGCCAGCATTGCGCATTCTACGAGGCGCGGCGAAATGCCTGGCGGGCAGAGTCGTCCCATTGATGTTCTGTCGTTGGGTTGCGGTTCTCTCGCAACAAGTCGGCGGGCGAGTGGTTCAAGTTTCTCGGCGCAGTTAGGTAGGAAGCGGTGGCAGGGGGATGGGGGAATTCCTCGACTGCCTCCACTTTAGTGTCAAGAGGGCGAATACCCGATGCGCTGACTTTGTGTCCCAAGAACTCCAGTTCGTCCCTGCCGAACAAACATTTGCTGACATTGACAACGATTCCGTAGTCTGCCGGGTGAGGAAAGAGAGCACGCAGAAGTTGTGCCTGATCGTCGGTGAAGCCGCTTGCAACGAGGATGTCATTATGTAGGAGTAGCCAAACGGCAGACAGCGCAGCACGTGGTCCACGAAACGCTAAAAAGTAAGTGCAGCATTTTTGTATCGCGAATGGCATTCTAACAAATTAAAAGAAACCGAGTCTTGTTGTGACCACGGTATTCTCAATGTCGGTTGGTTCAACTGGAATTTGGTAATACGACCCCCCCCCCCCCCCCCCTGCCCCCAGAAAATTAACACGCAGCTACTTTTCTGCATGAGCGAATAAAAGAGCCGTAAAAATATATATAGATAAAAATGAAACCTGAAAGGCAAGACTAAACATCACATGTATGAAAGGTGTCTTTCATATGTGATTACGTCACGCTTCATTTCTCGGTATTTGCATTTCAGTCTTCGGCATCCGCCAAGCCAACATCCGGGTGATTCGAGAGCTACGTAGAAGGAGGATGTACTCGCATTTATAAAGAGGACCTGTTCTCCGAGAACACTTTGTGAAGTAATAAAATATATTAAAGACGGTGTAGTAGTATATAAAAAGATTAATTACTTTTAGATTTCAATATACTTCTTTAATTTGTTATTCTCAAAAAAACCTTAAAAATATAATATCAACCGCTTCTGTTCAAGAATTATTTGCGTCTCGTCAGAACTCGCCAGTATGTGAATTTTCCAGCTGATAATTGCCTTCCTCTTTTCCCGTACTGTCGAAACTCCTCTTAAATGGCATTTCAGCCAACGGTGCCTTTTTGCGGTAGCAAATTCGTAATGAATAACGTATGTAACCGTATATTTAATAAACGAACAAATAGTCACAG